ACAAACTTAGCTGAAAGCAGCTTTTGTGATGCCTTGCGGCCGGGATGGGAAAGGCTATGGACAGCATCGAACACCCGACGCCGCCAGCCATGTGGCACAATGGGCCACGTAGTTCCTGTTGAGACATCACAAAGTAGTGAAGGGCACATCCTGAAGCTGCAGACCAGTGTCAGCAGACCGCAACCCCTGAATCTCACTGTCAGCTGCCTGGTCCGCTGCCATTAGTGCATAATCCACACTGAGGTGGACAGAACAAACCACTGAACGTGAAAGACAATCAGCCACCACATTGTGTTTACCAGCAACATGATGGATGTCAGTGGTGAATTCAGAAATGAGTGCCAGCTGACACTGCTGACGTGCAGACCAAGGGTCTGAAATTTTGCTCATGGCGGCCACCAATGGCTTGTGATCCACAAAAGCAGTGAATGGGCGCCCTTCTAACAGGAAGCGGAAATGGCGCACAGCTAAGTACAGGCCTAGGCAACTACCTTTCCAAAGTGATGGGTGTGGGGTGCTGTGACATTCCAGACTGATGGGCCATTGACAGTATGCATACTACTACAGGTGTGGGGACACCTTTCTCATTAATATTCACTATGCAGGCCACTGACTTTGACAAAAAGAGTGCCATACTTTAGTAATCAAACCACATAAAATTTCAGAATGTCTTTTTCACCTATGTGTAGCCAACCCGTGTCTATAAGCTTCAGAGCTCAAAAGTCTTGGCTAGAAATGTCTATAATGTGATTTTTTTACAATTTCTCAGCATGTCTGAGAATAGGTTTTTGAAAAGCATATGTTTAAAGTTGATTTTAACAAAAAATAGAATAATAACATTCTAAGTGGTCTCAGATTATTGGTGCTGAGTTTGTGCTGAATAAAAGCAAATGTATACATTTTGGGATAAATGTTTTTTAGATAGGTGAAATATTTTAAAATGTCAAGGCATGTCAGACTACCCCGAAAGTGACTGAGAGGCCCGTGAGCACTGAGATGTGCAAACAATGCCCGAAGATGAATCAAGTGCTCATCCAAACTGGTGCTGGCAACTAAAATGTCATCTAAAAAAACAAACAGAAAAGGCATGTCCCGCACAACACTGTCCATCAAACGCTGGAAAGTTTGAGCTGCATTCTTGAGCCCAAAAGGCATCCCAAGAAACTTACACAGACCAAAAGGTATAACAACAGCGGTCTTAGGGATGTCCTGGTTGTGTACTGGAACCTGATGGTATCCCCTAACCAGGTCCAAACGGACAGAGAAATCTTGGATGTGCAGAACAGGGTACCGGTCAGGGGTAGTCGCATCATTAAGGCGTCTATAGTCCCCACAGGGGCGCCAGCCACCCCCAGGCTTGGGCACCATATGGAAAGGACAAGATCAGGGGCTGTCAGAACACCGAACAATCCCCAAATGCTCCAATGTGTCAAATTCCTCCCTGGTGACAGCCATCTTCTCAGGGTCTAGGTGCCTCGCTTTTGAATGCACTGGCAGGCCTGCCGTGGTTATGTGGTGCTCCACACCGGGTTTCGTTGAGGATGCAGAAAAGGTGGGTGTGGTGAGGGTGGAAAACTCTTTCAGGAGGCGCTGGAAAACATCAGCCGAAGCAGAAACACCAGACAGGTTGGAAGGGCCAAAAATAAGTGCCTGATAAACGCAGAGACTTTTTGCTCTTTCCCTTGCACACCCAGCGGGGCGCTGGGTGTGCAAGGGAAAGAGCAAAAAGTCTCTGCGTTTATCAGGCACTTATTTTTAACATCCACTAGCAAATTGTTGGCACACAAAAAGTCAGCCAACACAAAAACCCATCGGAAACGCTGTCCGTGAAAACAGAGGTCTACTGGCCGATCGCTAAAATTTTCAATCGAAGTGCCGTTAGCAGCCTCTAGGGGAAAACCACGCACTCCTGATCGCTTGTCTAGCTGTGAGGCAGGGAAGACGCTCACCAAAGCGCACGTGTCGCACAGAAAACAGCAGCCAGAAATGGAGTCCTGACGTTTCCCGGCGGCTTAAAGGAGCAGGGCGGGATGCATTTCTTAGCACGCACACCAAAACGGGCATGATAAAAACAGTGACCAGACTTAGAGTCACGCTGAGCTGCAGCAACGACACCAGGGGCAGAAAAAGTGAAATCAGCCGGTCCTCCGCTGTCCAGCATGGCGCAGGACTGCCAACTGGCAATGTAAACTCTGTCCGCTTCTCTCGCCAACTCGGGGATATCTGTAAGTGGGGAGCTTGCTAGGGTTGAGCGAACGGGAGCCAGCATCCGCTGCATAAATAGTTCACGAAAAACCGCAAGACTGAGAGCGATTCGTAATCGTCAGCATCCCAGAAGACCCTTTTGCCTTTGTTTCACCCCATCAATCAAGATTAAGCAGGTCTGTTTTGTTTTGTTGTGTTCCGAGTTTTTGATTTTTCTCAACCGATCCGTTTGATGTCCAAGTTGGTCAAGTTAAGAGGCATTTGAGTTCCAAGGTTCTACTGTGATGATAATACAGGATTCCCGCGGGGTCTTAAAAAGTCTAAAATTCGGAAAGCTAAATTTAAGGCCTTAAAATGTCTTAAAAATGCCCAGATTTTCATCCTAGGTCTTAAATTCAATATACCCAAGTCTTAAAATTCTTACCTCCGTTCATTCCCAAAAAGCGTTGTCTGCAGAAAATAAAATAGTAAATCGCTGTAAAACTAATCCGTTGGTTGTGTTTTCTGGTCTGCACCGGTATCTGTATGGTAATAAAACTACAAATCTCATCGCGTGATCACTGCAGCTAGGCAACCATCCAGTTTGAGAAGGGTCTGGCTGCAGAACGTGCACTTTCAGCCACTGACGTCAGGTGCACGCTCAGCTACAACAGGAAGTGCAGGGGAATCAAGCGCTAATTTAGTTCTTGAGGCCAATGTGAACGGTATGTTGTTTTATTATTTGTATTATTGAATGACATAGTTACAAGTTTGTTTCATGCCATACATTATTGCAATGTAAATGTTTTGATGTAGTAACTTTTTTCTCTGATGACTGGAGTGAATTTTTTCATTTAAAAGGCAACTACAGTACTAGCCAGTTGGCTCACGTTATCTTAAATTATAATTAAAATAAACACATTTCTACTTTTACAGAGCTTTTCATGGAGTTACATTGTGAATGTCTTAGTTTCCAGCATATAGTTTTTAGTTGTTCGTGTGGTCTTGAGGAGAACATTTCTTGGTCTCCTTATGGTAAGGCAAGTATAATCATACACAGGGGTTATTTAATATGCTTTATAAAAACAAGATTTAAAAAAGTTAAACCAAGACAAAAAAAAGCAAAATAGAGATGGAAAAAAAAAACTTATTTGAATAAAAATTGCTTAGAAAATCTAAAAAATCTGATTAAAAGTGTCCCGCTTGTCCACTCCTCCCGTGTGCCACGGCCCCTCGTTAACCCCGTGTGGATTCCCCGTGTTTATCAGCTGTTTCCAGTTGTTTTCATTATCGCTGATGGGTCTGGAACGTAACTTCCGCGATAGGCGGGGGATCACTATATATTTTAAGGCTTAAACTATAAAAAAGTTTATGTATATGGTCTTTCTATATCGCGGATTTTCACCTATGGCTGATGGGTTTGGATCCCCCGCCTATCGCGGAAGTTACGTTCCAGACCCATCAGCAATAGGTGAAAATCCGCGATATAAGCCTTAAAATACCACTCCCACATGCTTTAAACA